TTTCAGCGACAGCTCATTACTACAAGTTTTTCCATTGTTCATAAAACATAACTCTTATTTGGTATTTGGTCAGAAAAGGGGCCACAAAAAACTACGAAAGATAGTTCGCCCGTGCCGAAATAGCCCCTTGCTGCTTCAAGTTCGGGGTCGCGGGGCCTTTCCAACTCGAAGTCTCCGCGCATCTTTTTGCGCAAGTGACCATCGGCACGCGTTCAGCGACACCTGGCATTTGTAACCCGGTTTCAGAGGCTACCGCTATCTGTGTACGGTATGTGGGCTTACTCGCAGATGGCGCCACCATCTTGTTAAGAAGCTATAGTAGTTTTAAAAAGGCGCGCTTTATAAAACGTGTCTTCCAAGAAAAGAATACGAACAGCGAACATCTTAGTGGAGTAACGCGATGATGACTTCCCTTCACGCTGCGCCCAACAGTTGTGCCGCGCCATGACCGCACTGACGAAGTAGCGTGCATAAAGAACTTGATGTTAATCTCTTAACGCTAATACACCGATACGACACACAATATTCGCAAGGAATAACTTTCCGTCCATCAGAGGAGCTGGAACTAACATACCATGTTTGCAAGCTTTGTTACGTGAAAAAAAGTTTAGCTTACATATATACCGCTATTTGTTTCGTTATTTACGCATTAACATATTTCACATCAACATGATTTTAATATAACAGAGTAGCTACCGGCCGCTGCTATGTATTTATCCTTTTATCATAATGAGTCTGTAAGCATTCAATTTACGTTATACATCCCGTTCCACTCATGAGGTTGTTTTTTTTTCGTTTTGGAATGTTCAATATTCGTTTTTTTTTCAGTTTTTCTGATATATTTCGCAGTTGTACATCATATTTTCTAGTAACTGTATTTTTTTGTTCATTTCACACGTATTCCTTCCCCCATCTCCTTCCCAACATGTACTTACGCTACATACCTAGGCGGTAATGTCACAAACACAACGCGCCATCATGGGCGTCGAAAGGGAAGGGGGGTGCGAAAGGAGCAGTTGACCCCCCTGTCACAGAACGAGCGCTAAAAATGGGCGCGCCGCCAAATTCCTGCGATAACGCGCGGAAGAGACGCCGGGAGGTCAAAATAAAAAAAAGGAAAACAACATCCAAGGCTCCCCGGGCGCGGGCTCTCCCCTCGGAAGCGTGGCCTCGCCGACGAACCTCCTCACCCCACATCAGCGGCCGAGCAAGCCCGCGAAATTTCTAGAACGAAAGAGGCGTGGTCACGCCGGGTTGAGTCATCCATCGCGGAGGGCATTCTAACCGTCTCCTCTCTCCCCAGCCTTCGCTGCGTATCGCGCCGACGAAATGACGAGAACCTTCTGGAAACTCGCGCGGAAGGTATTTAATCGAGCGGCCGAGACGAGAGAGCAGGAGAAGACGGAAGTTAGCGCCAGAGCGCGTAGGGTATACCACCGTGTAGTCGGCGAAGAATTTGTCCGTAGGGACAAGGCAGGAGAAGAAGAGGATTTCCACCTGAGGGGTGAAGGCTCGAGCTACTGGCAAGAGCGTGTGTTTACCGCTATCGAGCGAAGACGCGTGGCAACAGCTGCGTGGGTGAAGCCGAAGTGTTCGGGCGAAGAAGTTTGAAGCTTGGAGAGTGGCCTATTGAAGACGTGAGGTTTCCCGGAAGAGAAACTTCGTCGAGGTTTCCTGGAAGAGAAACTTCGGGGCTGCAGAACGACAACAACGCTGGACTTTGAGTGAGTGATTCTCGGAAGAGTATCATCTAGACTTTGGTTCCAAGAACTTTGGACTGAATGGGTTTTCTATCTTTTAGTGTCTGAGTGTCTTGGTTTTTCAATGCATGCGACTGCATTGTAGTGTGTATTGTTGTCTGTGTCTGTTGTTTCGAGTGTGGCTGATTGTACTGTGTAGTACGTTGTTTGGTGTGTGACATATTGTATGCAACTATTGTGGAGTGTGCATTTTTGTGTATGGTTTTCGATCTGCCATTATTGAGAATATAATTTGTTTGTTTATCAACTCTCGGCTCTGACTCGTTCTTTGGGCCACAGCCGGCGTCCGCTGGCGCGCGAAAAAGGACCACTTCTAAATTGTCCACGCTTTCGTGGTGCGGTTCGGGGGGCCGATACTTCGGCCCTTGGAATTAGCCCGGCGATTGCCTCCCGAATTAACGGGACTTGTGTGACACCCCCCCCCCCCTCCCGAAGCCCCGCCAGCACTGCCTCTGAAGTCCCATTACTGTCCCTTCTCCCCCCCCCCCGCCAGCATGCAATACGGGTGTGTCCCCTTCAATACAAAAATACGGCCGATGCCCATAGGGGCCACATATGACAACGTAATTTCCTACGCTAACTTTCCTGCTCGGCTAGAAAAAGTGTTTCTGGTGCTTTACACAATAATATAATTTTGCAGGACGAAGGCCTCTCATAGTGGTCTCCAGTCTACCCAATTTAGTGCATGGTGATTCCATCTTACGTTGGGCTGCAGATTAGTCAAGCCACCTCTAGGCATCTTTTTTCAGATGTGAAGCACCTTATGGAAATCGTCTTTAGCGTCAGCCCCTAAATCTAGTCTTGTTTGTTTCCGTGTTTATTCTAACCGTGTGACCATATGCACAACTCTTATGCGAATGTTTTCAATAAACCTCACTTGACGCTTTGCGCTGCGTTTGCCGAGTTCTTTCTTCGCCCCTCTTTTTTGCGCTTATTTATAGTATACATGATAGCATTTTCTATAGTCATCTTTGTTTGTCAGCCCCTCATGAGTTATAACAGGCTGTATGCAGTTATCCTGGAGTTATCGCCCGAAGAACAGTCGTCTATTGTCTGTCATTATTTGGGAGTACGTGCCATCTGTATGCGCTATGCCATGATCATCACCATCATAATCCTCATCATCACAAGCTCGTTTACAGGGCCAAGGCCCTGTTACGCCTAATTCGGTAACGTGCTTGCTGAGGCCACGTTCCCCGCAAAAATCTAGCCTCATGTACCCACCCTGCTTTCTGTTTCTTATTTCCAGCCTGCCTTCTCTTGGAATGTAGTTTGTCAATTTTGATGACTAGTGGTTGTCATACCTGCTCATACCCATTTAACCTGGTTAACATCCTACCCCGCCGCTGTGGTCTAGTGGCTAAGGTACTCGGCTGCTGACCCGCGGGTCGCGGGATCGAATCCCGGCAGCGGCGGCTGCGTTTCCGATGGAGGCGGAAATGTTGTAGGCCCGTGTGTTCAGATTTGGGTGCACGTTAAAGAACCCCAGGTGGTTGAAATTTCCGGAGCCCTCCACTACGGCGTCTCTCATAATCACATGATGTTTTTGGGACGTCAAGCCCCACTTATCAATGAATCATGGTTAACATCCTTGCCTTTCCCCAAACATTTCTGTACTTATCTATCTACTTCGTTTCAAAGAAGATGTTTATAACACCCGTTTGTTGCCTGAATCACTCTGCTCTCTTCTTTTCCGTTGATGTTACACCTAACTTTTTTTTGTCCATGGAACAGCATGAAGCCCTCAATTTTATTTTAGCCTCTACTTGTGCGCTCCGTAAGTACCGGTAATATGTACCGCATAAAGATACGCACTCCAACCTTCCCTAATTCTTTCTTCGGCGAATTTCCTTTCCGTGATTAGCTTCCCCTATGTGTAATGGAACTAGGTGTGCGCAAGGAGGTTTAAAAAATTGCTTTGCAAGCAGTAGTGAAGCCAGCTTTCGCCCTACAAAGATTTCAGAAACATGGTATTTTTTGGTTGCGCCCACTTACACACCAAGTGGCTTTAATTTGTTAGTCGAAAGAATACGTTAACGTTAAATTAGGAGATAGTTGTTTGCAAAGAAATAATCCGCAGGGCCTAGTATCGGCGACTTATTCTACAAAAAAAATTTTCTTTGAATTCAAGGCTTACTGAAGAAAACTAGCAACGAAAGGAGCCACTTTCAGAGCTATCTCACCCGAAAAGGTTGGCACTTTAGACTCGTTGGGCGTGCGAGGAAAACGCTCCATCTCAATCGCCGAACGCTATCAGATCATCGTGCCCCTAGAAAGATGGCTGCCGCAGCCGCCATCTTACGGTTGGCACGGCTTCACTTGTGGCCAAAAATTTACACTCCAGAAATTTTTTTTAAAACCTCCTTGAGTATGCGTGCTCGTACAGACTTCATTGATTGGCTTCGACTTGTGAAATATTGATATTTCGACAGGCTAATGAGCATATTTGTCTGTAGCATATCAATTTTTTGTCCTACTATAACACTTTCTTGGCTTAGGTCGCCAATATTTCATTCGCAACTCACTGCTGAAAAGCACTATGTCATCTGCGAATTGGGGGTCTGGGAGTGATATATTCTCCGTTAATTTTTATTCTTATTTCTGCCTTGTCCCAATGGTTAAACGGTCCTCATAATAACGCAGCAAACATTGAAAGAGCTTCACCGCAGCACCCTGGTTTTCCCGTTTCAAGCACAAATAGAAGAGTCTGAAACAGACCAAGCTTCGCAGTAGGTTCAAGGCTGAAATGAAGGAATTACGTGCCACTCGCAACGACCTGCACTTAGTACTCCTTGACTCTACGCCAGTAAAGCGCCGAAACAAACCGTTCTTAGATTGCAACAGCAGGGACCTGGGCCGCCACTATAACCAATTATCCACCGGGCCATAACTGTACCTAACATTAACGAATGATGGAACTTCCCAAATGAGTAAAAAAGGGAGGCTGACTAGACGTCCAATTACGCAACTAGAGGAGGGGAGCCCCCTCCCTCTCAGTCTCTGGTTTCCGAGTACAAAATCTTTCCATAACAATCCATATATTTCAAAAAACAAGAACAAAAACAAGGTGACCTTTTTTGTGACAGTTGATTATAACAATATTGTCATCAATACGGCCCTTTACGCGAGATCTTTATTTATCTTAGAAATTCAGTTGTGCCGCAAACACGATCCGCACATCTTCCGCAAGTATCATACCCTGAGTGAAAAAAATAATGCCTGTTTTCTGTTTTCTTACAGTAGGCATTCCATCGTACGTGCCCTTTTGGCCATCGCAGTTTCAATGGCGCTGCCGCCGCGCAGTGGAGGACAGCTGCAACGAGACTTCTACTCCTCAGTTTCCAACCTGCTGGACCTGGTGAAGCACGAGCAAGAAGTAAGCCTCATGCTTCTGGCCTATGCGGAACGCCTGAAGGCGCTGCAGTCAAACATCATCAGGTGAGCTACACAGCTGGTTTTCACGGTTAAACGTGTGAAGTGTTACCGTTTTAAAACCGGGCGCCATGCACCGTCACCCGAAGCGAAGTAGAGTCGCCGGGAGGCGCTAAAAAGGCAAAAAGTGATTCCGAGGGGGCATACCTAGGAACAGCAAAAATAAATGGCCTGCCAACGTGCACATATTCTGGTGGTTTTTAGTCGCTCCGGTATAGTCTAAGCACCCCGAGTCCAAACAGGCTGAGTCTCTCCGAGCAACCTGAGTCCAAGCACCCTGAGTCAGTGGTTAGGTCACCCAGAACCAGACAGGCCATCTAATTCTTTGCCATCAGCAATGAAGTCATAGCGAAACGAACATTTTCGTACGTCGTCAATCTGTTCACTAGGTATTTTACAGTGAAAGCTGTTATGAGATCACTTTTCGGGTCATGCGCAGTTGCTGTCCGCTGCCGCCTCCACCGGTGTCCGTAACCACATCGCGCGAAAAAAAAAAAAAAAACTTGCGCCAATGACTCAGTGGGGCTTGACCCCGGGTCCACTGCGTGCCAGCTCAATACTTTACCACTGATTTACGCTGGTGCTTACAACTTGGTGTCAAACTTGTCTCAAGCTGGCATGACCTAGCACCAATAGCACAGTGGGGCTCAAACCCGGGTCTGCTGGGTGCCAGCCCAGTACTTTACCACTGAGCTACCACCAATGCTTGTGACTTCTTGTCAAACTTGTCTTAGGCAGGCTTGATGTCGGGAAAGCTATCCCGTTAATATGACTTATAAAACGTTTTACGACAATGAAAGAACAACCAGTCGTCGCACAATACGAATAGCGTAACGAGTGGGCCATCCAATGCTCCAAACTATCAGAAAAGCTTGCTCTTGTTCACCTATTAACTGTGGCGCATAACCACTTCAGCCATAATTTCTCATCGTCGTCAGCCACTGCACGAACAATTGGCACAAAGTTCCTTCCAAGTGTTTAGCGGATACCACGCTTCTCAGAAGAATGACGAAAAATAGCATAGCGAATGCCAGCCTACTACCCAAAAGTTTATTATTATTTCCCCAGAGGGTACCAAGCAAGTGTGCTTGCAGTAGTTATCCAATGAGTGTTTATAAAAGGCACTGAAAGGCCACTCTTCTAGCTTTCGCTGTGACTGTGCGGCGCCTACCACGCAGGCCTGGCGCTTTTTAGTTTTTTTTTTTTACACTTCGACAGACTGAGAACTTCCTCCGTATTGAAAGCGAGTTTTGTGGAATTCCGCAAGACGGCGGAAGGGTTCTCTGAGGGATAGTTGAGAACTACTTGTCTTTAACATGAAAGCACAAGGAAATCTGTGTGAGTTACTCACGAAAGAAAATTCGCCCAGTGTCGCGCATTGAATTCGGGACCTACGCCGGCCTGTAACGGTCACTCTTATTTGTATAGAATTAGGACCTCGAATATGATATCATTTCACTATCCACCCCTTTTGTAATTCACAATTTTAACATAGCTACATCGCGCACGCAGCTTTGTGGAGACGAGACAGCCTTACCATGATCTGCGCACTCCTGCGGAGGTATCTGACTACATGAAACATCCTGTACACGCCTTCCACCTAATGAAAAGGATGATCGTTGATCTGGGTGCCATCGAGTCGCAGATACATGAACTGTACGCATCAGGTGAGCAAAGTCCTGCCCTTGCACACATATGAATACTTCTATACGACTATGCTAATATTGAATGATGTAAATAATATTTATTTACGATGAATTTCGAAGCTGCATGCACGAGTAATTAAAAAAAGAGAGAAAACAAGAAAAGAGGTAATGTTTCATAACATCGTAAATCTGCTCATGTTTATCTCATATAAAAACCTGTTAGCTGTTTCCATTCATTTTATCGCTGTTTAGTATTCATGGCAGAATACCTCACAGGAGTTTTGGCTTGTTTGAGTGCGAGTATATGCTGTTGGCAATACAGCTAAATAGAACATGTTCACAGCACAGCGAAGTCACTGTGTTACAGCTCCTTGAAACAATTCATAGTGCTACTCATCTAACCATTGTAACGATTCTGCTTCCGCATATTTTTGATAGCCCATCGCCATCTTGGCAGATTCAATCCAAACCGGGCCCATGGCTTATCTATGATATAGCCATGACTACAGAACACAACACGATGTCGTGCAACCATATCTTATAATCAATTAACACTGTGTGTTTGTTTCGCGCGTTCTTCTTTTTTTTTTTTTTGCCCCAGACCCCCTGCACAACATAACCGCAATGCGCGCCAACAGACTGCTTCCCTGGGAAGAGGACTTCAACGGCGTCGCCGTTTCAATCGCGCGCCTTCAGGACACCTACCTCCTGGACATGGACAGCCTCGTCAGCGGTCACCTGACCATTACGTCACGGGCGCGGAACCGCACCGTGCCCGGACGCATTCCGCTCACTGGTGAGTCCGTAGTAGATGGACAGATGACTGTCACAGAAACCTGCAGACAATAATGAATGAAGCTGATACAATAGTTGAAGTTAAAAGATCCTATGTACGCTTGTAGATTGCGTGTATAGACCTTTAAGCTTCCGCGACATAGTGCATCACCCTTATCTGCTTCTCTTTCTCCATCCTCATTTATTCACCTCGGTGCAGCTTCGAAAACGAGAGCTGCATCTGACTAAATTACAGCGGCACTACTGTAGAAGAATGATGAAAGAGTACGAACAGTGCCTACTTCGTCCTTCTTCTCACTGTTCCTGTCTTAGTAGCTAGATTGAGGGTCATGACGCATCAACTTACTGCAAGTTTGATCTTTCTTACCTCTCCATCTCTTTGTTCCTCTCTCTTTCTGCAAGACAGTATGATCTATCAGGACCCTACTTCACAAGATCTAGATCTATAGGAGTATTTACAAGAAGGAACTCCAGGGACTCCGATAATGGACGTTTTAGAAAAAAAAATGAAGGCTCTAATCTATATGCTGGAGATGCTACTTTGGCTGTTCACCTCGCTTGCTGTCTGACGGGGGGCAGTCACTGCCAAAGAGCTTTCATGAACAGTGATTCTCTCGTATTCGCCCCAAGTCTTGTGCAAGCCAGCAACATATACAGCAACTGTCAAGAAATTGCGTAATGTCGACTTACTTATTTTCTTGAATGAGCCTTTTCTTACAGAATACGGGTAGACAATGAAGTGACCAGCACAGTTCAGTGAAGACACGTGGCAGAAGTTTCAACTTCCAGGAGGAAATATGATGATACATACGGAGTGCCTAACCTGTAATTGTTCGTGGACAATATCTTTACCATATGCGCTCCTTCTGCCCCTTCTTATTAATTTCCTACAATTTTTAGCTTGCACCACGCATCGTTCATAAAATATGCCACAACAATGCCAACCCTGTACTATTTTTAATGTTGAATGCCGAGATTTACCATAATTGGGCCAGCAACACGTCTCCAACTGCGCCCTGGGTGCCGTGAAATGCCAAAAATGCTTTGTAAAATATATGTAATGGAGGAAGCAGAGAGAAAAGTCGAGGGTGGGGAGGTTATCCAGAAAGGTATACGGTTGGCTACCCTACACTGGAGGGATTAGAGAACGGGACAAGAAAGAGGAAGGAGGGAAGAGAAGAAAAAGACTGCAGTGCGGCATGCGATGTCTGCGGTGACGGCGAAAATATTGAACACCTGCTGTGTCACTGTCCTCGATTCGCCTCAGAGAGACAAGTACTTGTCGTCGCATGGCGGTGACTGGATGATCGGTCACTTTATGTGCAGGTGCTATTACGGTCCCGTCCACAACTCTCGATGGCTCACAAGGCAGCTAAAGCCCTCTTGTGCTTTTCGAGGACGACAGCTTCGCGAGAACGCCTCTGACTTGCGGTGGAGTTCCACACACTTCAGTGTATTTGCTGTTATCTCTCTCGGTGAAATATAGACTAATAAAGAAGTAAAGGCATCTATGATTTTCCTCGCAGCTCGTGACTGCTACTTCATGGGCCAAGTGGCGGTGCACAACGGCTTCTACGACCGGTCCGTGGAGTGGGTGGAGAGCGCCATTCACAAAGCGACAAATGAGAAGCCACCGTCAGTCCCCACAGAGGATCTCACGAAGTATCTGGACTTACTCATCAAAAAGGTGCGCCGTTTTTTTCTCGCTTCCCAAAACGCCAACTGTAATTTCGGTCTACCAACAATTATTCACAGTGAACATGACGCACATGTTGTGTGCACACATTTAACGTTAGCTCGAAAAAAAGAATCTGCGGGACGGCACTTCTCAAGAATCGGGCTGTTGTCGTTCGAGCTCAGAGTGCATGACATGGAATGACTGTTTTAAGAGAATTTCATTTCCGACAGAAACATACATACACAGAAGACATTCATGTGTTACACTATTGAACTAAAGACATTCCTGATATGTAATAATGTGTTTAGAAAAAAATGTTTAACGATTTCGAGTACTTCGTACTCAACTATGGGAGAGCACTGAGCCGTCCCACTAAAAACACGTAAAAACGGAGCGTTTTCCTTTTTCGCACGCCAAACGAGTTTAATAATATGCCCCCACAATACATGCACATGCGTTATGCAGTCGCAGTTTCAGGGGCAAACTTCCACATAGTCCATCGACATAGTGCTTGCTCTTAATGGTCCTCAGTAGAAAGCCACAGCAATGTGTGATTCCATCACTTCTACAGAATCTTTAAAGACCGTAAGCGTGCTCAAATACCGTCACCGCATTATTTGCTCAATATTTTATACAAGCGTCATAACTTAGCAAGACTGTTTTAGTGGGCCTTGAGAGCTTCGATTTTTGGGGTGTTTAGAAAAACACAAACAGTGCAATAGGAAATAAGGGTATAGGTACAGAAGGAAGGGAAACACGTCATCGTACGCGCTATGATTAACTATGCACTGACGCTTTCAGCATGGTCTTCCTTTTATATGTATTATGCCTAGCTTCACGCAAACAGGATGACATGAACACATCTATGTTGGTGTAGAAATTATTCAAATATAGAAAATGATAATCGCGCTCATGCTCTCATCTTGTCGTCTCTTCTACCCCTACATTAGGTTACTTTTAATCAGTTTGATTTGCTCTTAGCAGTCAGAATGTAATGCGCTACTAACTAACTGAGGCATTCTCTCTAGTGACGTTGAAAGCGTTCTTTTAGATAGTGTGTAACAAGCTGAAGAACACCCGCTCAGCAAACAAAATCTCATTGTTATGAACTGGATTTTTGCGGACGTAAGTGCAGTTCCCATGAAGACGTGCACTGTAGAATCGTTCTGCATTACTGGTTTCACGTTCCTGCGGAAGGAGCTCGACATTTATAGGAGTGCAACCGTTCCCGTTCGATCGGAACACCACACATACACGCTCTGTAGCCGCCTCGACAGTGCTACTGTCACTGAATGTGCAGCTAAACAAGCGTTCCGATCCGTTGAGTCCGTGACATTTTCATTCCACGCATGGTACGAGAGGCCCTGCTGGCACTTGAATCGCTCGTGTACATTTATACTGTTTTCACTTTGGTGATGGCTAGCAAAGCGTATGACGACAGGTCACGTGCAGTTGTTTGACGTTGTTTCATCATTTGCTCTTTTCATCGATGCAATTTTTTTTATCTTTTCTTGACACAGCACGACGATGTACTGGACTCCATGGGAAAAGCCGGTGAGCTATTCATTCAGACCTCCCTGACGAACATACGTTTGACTTTAGTTTTACTATACGATGTTTATAGCTGTTGCTCTTTTAGTTTTGACACAAGCGTACAGTGTCATCCTCGTTGTGTTTCGTTCTTAACAATCGTATATGGCAGTCAAGCGGTATAAATGCTGTCATTTCCGCAAGTAAATCACAAGTGGTATGTACTTCGACTCACGTTAAAGATGACTGGCTACGTGCTCAATAAATTTTGTACTGATAGCTACTACTACTACTATTACTATTACTACTACTACTACTACTACTACTACTACTACTACTACTACTGGTACTAGTACTAGTATTGAAGGCTATGAGTTTTATTAAGAAGGTTTTAGTTGGGTTAGGTCTATATATACTTACAGGCTCATCGCATTTTTTTAACGACATTCCGCTTCCCTAGACTGATATGCCACTGACTTGAACAGATAAATCAACATTTTACGTTCCTCGACAACAGCCCCGACACTCACGAGGTACCCTGATCGCCTCACTGGAGATGTGGTGCGCTTCATTTAATCCCGTCGGCACGTTTGAATGTGAAACAGAATCTTCCGTGACACAACCCGCGAACAAGGAACTTCCAGAATGCGTGTGTGAAATACGTGACGTTTTTTTCAAAGGACCGAAAAATGTGTTTGGGAGTGTCGCGTCTTCCAAGGGCATATCTATAATGTACTGAACCCTTTCAAACCACATTTTTCAGCAGAGCAACAAGTAAGCGAAGAGGTTGACCAATCGCCAGTATAAACCACCGGGCTACCTCACTCGAAGGCAAACATCCTCCAGTAGGAAGATAACATAACAGGGTTTCATTTGTTTCCACAGAGAGGAAGTGATTCGCACCTCACGACCATTACACGATACATGTAAATTGCTAAAGCATGCAATAGGATTTAATTTATAACTGATCTTTTCAAGGTGCTCTTGTCGTAGTATCCGTGTTGATGAAATTTAGTGAGTAAAGCAAGTAAAGAGTAAAATCCGAACAGCCAGAAGCTGTGTTGATTTGACGAGGCTAACAACTTCGAAACAACATTGGTTCTCGTGTTCTGCGTTTTACAGGACAGTACTGGCAGACGTACGGTGTGCCCGTGCGCGAACGAAAAAAGAAAGCGCTGCAGTTCCAAACCAAATTGTTCGAGGACAAGCTCACCTTCGCGCAGGAGACACAGAACTACAAGCGTCTCTGCCGCGGAGAACAGCTGAGGGTAAGCGAGTCTTGCCAGTACGTCATTTCGATTGTAATTAACCTTCCGCATTGGAGAAGAGCACGGCAACATCCGCTCTGGTTGAGACCCGACAGCCGTACGAGAAAGATCACTCGTTTAAAGCCTTCGTAGAATCATACTGCCGGTTCGCCTCGGTGGAACAGCAGATACACATTTTGATGGAGGCGAAATCATAGAGGCCTGTGTGATTGCGTGATATCAATGCACGCTAAAAAAGACCAGATGGAAGAAATTGCCGGAGCCCTCCAGCACGGCGTCTCTCGTATTGATGCGGTTTGGGAACGTAAAATTCCAGAAAGTGTTAAACTAAATCGCATTGCCAGGCGCGTTCGTTGCTTTCTTTTGATGTATTCGTGTTTCACGCACAAAGACTGTCAGCAACGCTCGGAGTATATCGCACCGCAATGTTTGATAAGCTTCGCGATTGAGATTACTTAGTTAAGATTACGCGCAGGACGCGAGTTGTCGAATTTATTCAAGAGGTTATGCAAGCATCAGCGATAACGCTGAGAGGATCGGTAACGCGTGTTCGTCAAAGACGACGCGTTGGATCAACGATTAGATCAATCGACAGCTGACTAGTATTATCACTGCTCTCAATGTACAGCGTGTATCGCTTCTAGTTCGAGTCTTCCGGGTCGAATGACATCGCTTAAAAAAAAGATTTAAAAAAAACACATTATATCCATGAGGTGAATAATGTCGTGTGGGCCAAGCTCCGAGGGACCAATAATCACCGTGCTTGCTTGCTTGCTTGCTTGCTTGCTGCCTTTCTTTATTTCTTCTTTTTTTTCTTTCTTAACGAGGTGCACTTCATGAGCATTGGAGAGAGAGATTAGGGTGCGAGCGCGTGTTACAGCTCTTGGGGTGCCGCATCGAAAGAAATGGCGTGTCACGAGCGCACCCGTGGTCATCGTTCCTCTGTTCTACCTACGCTCGGCACGCTTGCGGCCGGCCCTCCGAGCTTGTGCAAGCCAGGACAACGGACATCGCAGGGACAAGGCCCCTAAAGAGAATTCCACATTTCCCAATCTCGATCCGGCCTTTTTTCAGCGCCACAAACAAGTGCCAATACTCAACGCAACTGTCACCGTTAGTACACTTTGCTGTGCGAGATGAAGAGACCAATAGATTACGACATGGCCTTAACACAATGTTTGTCCGACTTAAACCCGACGAGGCTAGCGGCCACTCTCACTTGCTTAGAAACCGAACTCTGTCATATTTAGGCGTTGCTGTTTTAAGTAATTCAATTTTGCCTATGTTTGATACGTTTTCGCTTTGCTGGTCACACGTGCTGTTTGTCCCTGCCTCAACGTGGTGGGTGTAGTGGCCATGGCGCTCGACTGCTATCCCAAAGCTTGCGGGATCGAATCCCGGCTGTAACAGCTCAATTTTCGATGGAGCCGGAAATGTTCAAGGCCCACGTACTACAATTTAGGTCTACGTAAAAGAACCTCAGTGGGTTGTAAGTTCCGCAGCCCTCTACTACGGCGTGGCTCATAATCACATCCTGGTTTTCGGACCTTAAGACCCAGATATTATTAGCGTCATTTATCGTTATCTGAATTTATGCGAATTATAGTTGTAGTTTCTTCCATTTGAGTTCTTCGATCTCTCTACTTACCATTGTGATTCTCATAACAATAATAATATTAATTTATGAGTAGTCTGGCCCGTTTACTACTGTTGCATTAGAATTTGTAAAGAACATATGACTCACTACTTGTCCAAGTTATTGTAGCCCTCTTTAAGTTCTTGTCAGGAGGTCCTTCCGGGCTGTTTTTACTTCGGGATTTCTAAATGTGCATTTATACGTCTATCTTGTACCTTATTTACCATTTTAAATGAGGGTCTCTCTACTACTGCCTCCTTCCTCCTTATATTTCGCTACGACGTCACACCTCTCTGTCACGCTATATTACACCCTAGTTTGAATAATTGAGCCCTTATTAGCATATCAAATCGGCCCATTGCGCTCTGCATTGGCGATCATATACTGGTGTTCGTTTGATGCATTGCATGTCATAGTTCATATGTAATATCAAGATAATGACGATAATGACCAATTTATCTCGTATGGTTATTTAGACGGACACAACCTGAAGAGCAATGACAAAGCATGTTCACACCAGTCAGTGAGGTAGTTCTTTTTGCGTGGAATTTTTGTTGATTTCGTGGGCTAGCCAAGGTAAATACTTATACTCGTGAGAACTAAACTAAAATTATGTCGAGATTTTTCTCTGCAGAACCTTAACGCTTGTACACGTTTCAAGGTCTTGTTGCCCAATCAAGAGCAGTGAATCCTTAATTCTTTTTAAATGCTGTGTTGCATATCATCTTTACCCCTGCTTGCATAAGGTTCTATTGTAGAAAAGCAAGCAATGCGTGACGATAATATAATATTATTCATCAGCAACAGAACGATTAATAAACAATATTCAATTAAATATTTTGATTGATTTGCTATGTCCTCGTGGTCACCGACAGACGCCAAAGATGGACAGCCAGCTTCGGTGCCGCTACTACTACGGCAGGCACGGCTATCTGCGGCTTCAGCCTGCGAAGATTGAAGAGGCCAACCTGAAGCCGTACATCATCACCTTCCACGACATCATCGGTGACCGCGACATAAACGACCTACTCGCGTACGCAACGCCTAGGGTGAGCTATACGACTCTCTCGGAAGCTGTTAAAAATCAACCACAAGACGAAAACATTTGTTTGGTTAGCACCACGTGTCTCATCCGACTATATATTGAATCGTGGTAGACAAAAAATTTGTGAAATACACTTGCAGAATAGAGCTAACAGATTCAATACGAGGTTATTTGACCAGTGTTTCATTTAGTTCGCGACCAAGGAGGATTAAAGAAAAATTGCGGGAGTGGAAGCTTCCGCAATACCTTGCCAGCAGAAGTGAAGCCACCTTTTGCCACTGCCAAGATGGCGGAAACATGCTCTTTTCTGATAGTGGCCACTTAAAGATCAAGTGGCTTCTATATGTTATATAAGTGCTACGTTAGTTCTGTGTTAAAAGATAGTTGTTCCCGACGAGATGACACACAGAAACTAGTACGGATGACTGAATCTTCAAAGAACTTTGCCTCCAATTAGGGGCCCACTAAGGAAAACTAGTAACTGTAGGACGCGCTTTGCACACTTTGTTACCCGAAAAAGTTTTCAAACTAAATTCGTTTGGCGTGCGAGGGAAACGCTAGGTTTGCGATCGCTGAACGGCGATAATTTGTCATGCCCTTAGTAAGATGGCCGCCACAGCCGCCATATTGCCAGAGGAAGGGCTTGATCTCTGCGCAATCATTTCCACTCAAGCAATTTTTTTTAAAATCCTCCTTGTTCGCGACGCGTTATAGCTCTTGCTCCAACTAATCTCCGAATGAATCAGCGTTGACAGAATGTAGGCTAACATTTACCTCGCAGCAACATTGCAACATCACTTTATATACCACATCTGTTTAGAAAAAAAAAGTGCTATAAACATGTTTTTGTATAGGTGATGATCGTATTTGCTTTTCCCAGCTTTTCCGGTCTACGCACTACGGGGAACACGGAATGGAGACATCTCTGATCCGCACCAGCTCAACGTAAGACAGCGCTACCTGTTGTATAGCGATAGCAATAACAACCTATGTCAACCCATACACATCAGTCGTTTAGCTTATTCTGGGGCTATACGGCAAAAAGAATCGTCGACAAAGACAAAGATGCTTTATCTCTCACACACACAAACAGGCACTCACACAGACGCACTTACTAACATGTTAGCAAACACGAGCCTTTAAATGTGCACTTCCCTCCTTCATTCATAGCGAGGTTCTCGTTCTGGCGGCATTGATGCCTTCCAATAGATTATTGGTCAGCTGCCAGGTCGTGATAGGATTATGTGCTACGTGACGTTAACAGAGAAAACAAGGAAGCTCGACGTTCGACGTGATTGCTACTGGTGGCGCTTACTGACGCTCCCACGTTTAATGCACATATAGTTAGACCCCCCCCCCCCCCCCGAGTGAACACGGGGGGTAGCCGCCGTGGCAGCTCAGTTGATAGAGCATGGGGCGCGTTATTCGAAAGTCGCAAATTCAGTTCCTCCACACAGCAAGTTATCTTTTCGGCCACTTATCTTTCTCAACATTTATGTTACCATTACGCCTAACATTTTTCATGCTTTTCTTGGCATCATTGCCTGTTAGTTCTCATTAATTTTGTGTGTAACAAAGTAAACGAGTCCTTAAAAGTACACTTCTTTCCTTCACACACTAACGTGTTACAGCGGGGATATATGCTTAGTGTGCCCGAGTAGTTTTCTTATATGACCATTCATTACACGAGAAAACGAAAGTTCTTGTACAGGACGTGTCGTTGGCGGCAATGTATCGACAAGTGGTCACATTTTTTTTAAGGCAGCCAGGAGCTGCTCTGAAAAAAAGAAGCTTCTGACTGCCTTCTTCAGCTAATTAGGCTTCCATCTTCTCCCGAGTTTCTGCTTTATTTGGACATTCGTTGGTCAGTGTTACTCAGCCAAGCTATTGGCCGCTGTATCGGAAGTATTCCAAGACACCAGGTTGATAGCTTTATTGTGGCGTCGGTTTCCTTTGTCTAGGGTACGTTTTGTGAAACTCGGATCTTACTCGTAGATATCTCGTCAAAGGACAAAATGGTTTTAATACAATGAAGGGGAAAAATCAGTTTAAAAGTTATCCGCAAATATGCCTATCCTAACTAGGACGTCTCGACTAGCTTTTTTTTTTCAATTTTTTATTGGACTAGATTCATAGGCTGGGGTTTCAGAGGGTTTGATAGGTAGAAGTATCGTACAGGCATTGCTCACTTGGTGTGGCAGTGTCTGTCTAACAGGTGTCACACCATTGTGGGCACAGTGGCGAGGACTCTAAACAATTCATAACTCTCGACTGATAAAGTTTCGCCAAAGATCAGACCAGCAGTTGTGTCTTGGTGCAATGAAAAATGCCCCCCCCCCCCCCGCCTTCTCACATAGAACTCTATACTTCAGGATAAAGAAAGAGTATGGAGTACAGATATTCGACGGCACTTTTAAGCCCTCTTGCCTTTATACTTGCTGGGGCGGTTTTATAAAGATAATCCACGATGTTTTCAGAGAAGAAAAGAAGGGGGAAAAAAGTTAACCACATTATGATTTCTGGGTAAACTGGTGTACGAAAATACAGACAACGACACAGAAAAGTAGAAATAACGGGATCACACATTTGCCCGCGCATTGCAAAGCTTGCATGTGCTCGCCGATTTTCTCGGAGATTAGGAGTTTGGGTCGGAGCGCTGATACCACAGCCCGTGAACTGGCAGAAGGCTTTTATATTACTGCAAGAGGCAATGCTTGTATTAGTGATACGTCTATATCTTTATTTGATAGCGAGCGTGATTTTTCGCCCGGCCCCCTGTAAGCTGTTTGGGTTTGTCCTTGTGACCACATGACTATGTTCTTTCGTGACTATATAATTGAAGGATGACGAATAATTAGATTCAGTTGAAAGTTTGCGCTTGTCCCTGTCTCTTCTTCTTCTGTGTCGTTGTCTGTATTTGCGCACACCAGTTTAACTGGAATAATGAACTAACTCGTCCAGTACAAGTTTTATTATAATTTCTACTTGTTCACAGCCATGTGTAAAGGCTGTGAACCAAGCAGCCTCAACATGACTCACCAGTTTGCTTGTTCGAAAATAGCGAAACGTGCTGCAAGAAAGCACAGCGAAATGTGGGCAGTGTTCGCAATAACACTTCTCGCTTCGTTTGTGCAGAAGCTATAGAGTCTCAGCATTACCAGATCACTGACATACACATCTGATGTGCAGTGCTTGGCTCGGCGACCAGGATGCACCCGTGGCAACGAGGTTAAATCGATTCATCGAGTCCCTGCTTGGTCTAGGCACGCAATACCTGAAAGGGGAAGCGGAGTTCTACCAGGTGAGTAGACTAGAGTATAGCGAAGAGCAGGACATAGTAGTCTCGAGTAGACTAGCGTGGATTAGAGCCGAGCAGGGCATAGTAGATTAGTACCTTGAACCAGTGGCACACATCCACGCTTGCCGATCGGTAATAAACCAGATAGACCTTATACATGAATTCTTTATTACAAGTTTAGTGCATGTGAATATCTCACTAAACAATGCCAGCAAGCAAGAGTGTGCACCGCTTCACTTTATCGATATTTTGAATTTTTGTTGTGAGCGTACTCGCCCATTTCATTGGATTGCGAGACATTGCACTGTAACAATAATGCCGGAGTCACATAAAGGAATTGCCTGATAATTGGGACCTCTATAACCTGGCCGAATTTTCGATGAGCTCTTTGACCTTAGACTGCAAAATTGATGACGCTGCGACTTAAATTTCTGTGAAGGTGTGAGCAATGACAAAATGCTTATTTTTAACCGTCTAAAGTGCAGCTGTGCCACAACTTTGATAAATGAGATTGTAGAGCGCCAAGAAATCTATACATTGCCGTATTGTTCGCATTACTTTATGATTTATATCAGCGATGGACTAAACGCTTTGGCCAAGCCTAGAGCGCGCATAATGCTTGCCTGAGCAGCGTTATATTGCATTATCCGTAGGGTGATAAGCTGAGTGATAATGCAGCTTCAGTTAATGTATCTTATAAGAGGGACAACAATATTTACGAAGACCACTATGTCATATGCACTTGCTTCTCCCATCCCACAGTTTTACATTGACAATAGCGGTGGGAAACTTTTGTTCAGGTAAATCAGTCTGGTTGCTCGCACATTGTGCATGCTTGGCAAGTCCAAACATTGGCTATCTGACTTGAAATCACCTTGTATAGGTGCTCATATTGACCTCCCGTATCAGTAGCGGACAAATGAATTCACATCTTTTACAGTGCGGGGCTATATCAGTTCTACTACCGTGGTAGCATTTCTGTGGTCACAAACTTTTCAGGGAGCACATGTGTACGAGATTAGCCCTGAGTATGTTACACAGCGCCACTCGTGGAAAACGCGGTGCACATTTAGCAGTCCCTTTGCTTTCATCTGGCTCCGTTCTCCGTCACAGATTGCAGTTGTGACGAAACAAACCAAGGTAGGAAACTCACAAGATCCCTCGTGTATTCACCAACGCAACTCCGAAGGCGATAGTCACGGCCGTTCGTTTTCTTCTCAGTCGATGTAATGACTCAAAACTGGAGAGACCAGTGAGTTGGTTCTTAATCATAACGGCTTAAATGTCGCGCTGAGAATAACGAGGACAAGAAAGCAAGCACCACAAGCGCTGGTGGTGATCACTTGCTTCTCCTCGTCTTTTTTTTTTGCGCTACATTTACGCCGTGATGTAATGACGGTGTATCACCCCCATTCCAAAGTTTTCGACCCCAAACGTGCTTTTGCACAGCCTCAGAGATCAGCGTACGTTGCACCAAGCGACGACGGTGCGTGAAGGCATGTGACGTCCTTCATGACGCCATGGTGACCGCCATGATGACGATTGAATTCTGATTTATGTGACGTCACCCCTATGATTACGATTTTTCGCCTCACTCGTCCTGACGGCGGCGACATGGTACGCTGACCGTTAATCTTTTTTTTTTCGTTTCATGGGACGTTTGAGGCTTTCACCTTATTATGCAGTCGAAACTCAGTGCAGTTCCTTATGCGGTAGTCTATTGAACGGAAAGGTGAAAACACCGCTTATGCGATTTAACAAAATTAAAAAAAAGCATTATGAAATTGTGGTCGCACAGTTACACCACCGTGTCTTATATCGCAGTCCACTTTATTCTACAGCTCATTCCACAGTTTCATCCACCATAATGCTTACTTTTATTTCATCTTGTACTGATCAGGGCTAATAATGTCTAACAAACACTTCATAATACTTCTATTTATCTGGACGCAATTACATTTTCATGCAGTAAAAGCCATATATTTAACCTTACATTGCCTACAGCTCTTTTGTTCAACTACACCGGGATTTCTTCGACTAAGTCGTTCAGAGCTCTTTCAAGGACACCTTCGCATCAGGCACGCAAGGTTTTCGTGTTATAATAAAAGTGCCCCTAACTGGTACCTTCAACGAAACACATAGTGCCCACTGAAGCTGAAATTTCGAAGATAATCAGTTGTACATAATTGCGTCAATTATTCGTGATTATAAAGCTACATATAATATAGGGTCACTTGATTTTAAATACAAATTGTTGAAACAGTTGTCGTATGTCTGCTATCATTTAGGGCTTCTAGTGTTGAGTGGTCGCGCTTTTTTTTATGGTAATTGACACATTCAGAGAGGAGATTGAACGTTGTACACTAATGCGTTGCGTGTAAAAGTTATATATGTGTGCCCAATAATCTATACTAGTGTACGCCGTGCTTATATTGTATGGAACACTGCACTATGGCATATGGCATCATGTCCAAGAGAAGGATAAGAAATATTTATGATAATAAGCATGAGGAAGCCTAGGCCAATGTTTTCCTAATATACCATACCACATATATACAAACCTACTTCCTCTCCCGTGATGACTTATTCTTCGCCTGAAAATTACGTCAGCAATGTAGTTTTTTTTCTACTCTCTCTCTCTCTTTTCTACCTGCTGTCTACCTTGCAGCTTGCCAATTATGGCGTAGGAGGCCAGTACATCGCTCATCATGACTTCCTCGCCGATATCTACGCCGACCCAACTCGAAAGGTGAGAGACCACCTAAATGCTTGCAACTCGGTGCAACCGCATCATCGCTCCAACTAGGCTGGGGTGACCGAGTTACACTGAATGACCGCGTTTAATGGGTATAGTAGCGTCGCCTAGAATCTCCATGGCCCTTGTGATATACCAACGACTTTGGAAAAGACAAGAGAAGGTCTGTACAAATGGGTGCCGCGTAAACATTCTACCGGTTGCTGGACTGGCACGATGGTTTAAATTTTCAATTCAAGTTTCAGTTTTAGTTTTTACCCTGTAATGCCCACGAACACTTGTGCCTTCAGAAAAATTACGAGAAAACGCTGACTGTTTTTACTCTTCTTATACAGTTCATTTTAAGAAAAATAGTGAGCTTTTGTTTGGAGCATAATAATTCATAATAATTGCAAGTAATTAATTGCTATCGTACAATATGTGAGTCACTGTACCTCTTTCATAGCATGTCAAATGTGCAATGTCTGCTTATCATGACACCTATAATAGCTTTAATGAGGTATTGTAATCAATGTTGCAAATATGATACAGTGGGCACTACAGGAAGCTTCACAAAGGCTGAATGAGCTCTGTATAATACGCAAACAAGGTTGCACACCACGATGGACTCCAGCTGGCTTTACGAACTTGTATATATAACAAGATAGGTTTTAAGGCTTGGGCGTCTCATCTAAAATACATTCAAGCCATATGAAATGCGTGCGCTGACAAACGTCAGCTGCGACCGGGAGAAAGGGGGGGGGGGGGGAGGTGACAAGGAGCTCACATTCCTTTGGCCACATACCTTTGAGGACCAACCTATATTTTGTTCCAGACTCGTAGTACAATCTAAAATGAACCTCTCAAGATGGAACTTCCATATTTTGTTCCACACAACCACAGATCTGATTTGTATACCTCATTCCCAATATATGTTAGTGCGATTTTACGTCTTTTTATGTTACTCTGTGGTTGTGTTGTTACAATACGCGCCTTGCTTCTCTTACAGCTGGATGACTTCGAGCGCTCGGCAGGAGATCGAATAGCTACGCTGATGTTTTACGTAAGTTGATCATTACGTATTTGCTGAAAAGACAAAATGCAAACGGAAATCGCCGCCCGCATTGCGCCAGCCGAGTATATCAGTGAAGCTGACTGGCCCACGTTACAGATAATATGTATACGGATTACAAGAGCTATTACTTCTTTTCAAGTGTAAATCCTAACAGTGGTCAGTTACAGACCTATGGTATACTTCAGACGAACGTTTAACTTCTAATACGCGTAGTATGTACATTTGCCTCAAAAAAGCACTTACCCCATTCGAGCGGAAATCTCATAGTGACGAGCAGGCACGCGAGAGTTCTGTGGCCTTAGCTAACATTTTTTTTAGGATGTAATCGAGGGTAGCGTATGCAACACTAAAGCAAGCTGAGGTCTTATCTGTTGTCCGTTAATCTTGGGCAAAGCATATCGGAACTGATTACTTCTTGAGAGGTGCTCACACCCTCTCCGCTTTTTATAATGTTCGGTTTCAGCTGTGACCGTTGGACGCACCGTTACTCGCGCTATAGTCACGTTTCAGTTATCTTATAGTTGCCACTCTTCTCTCGTTACAGTTAAGTGACGTCGAGGAAGGAGGAGCGACGGTGTTCCCTCATTTAGGAGTCCGATTAACCCCCAAAAAGGTGAGAGTGTACCTAAAGACTCATCATTTTACAACGAGTCGCAAATCAGGTCACGAGTTATGGAAACCGTAGTTCGTCGCAGTTTCGCAATTCTCAATTCGCCCAAAAGAAGTTTGCCATTGGTGGGCTGTACTTTTCAAGGGGCACGGGCGATATTACGATTCCTTTGAGTAAATGCTTTACTTTTACTGCGACAAAATCGGCGGCTACAGGCGCAGTTTGCCAAGGACATCGCCACATACGCTGACTTTATTTAAACGTGAAAGTGCTTGTTGCAGAAATATCACGCTGCGATGCCAGAGATGATCTAATCAATGCTCGGCGAGGGATTCATAAAAAAAAGTTCAACAGAAGCCATCAAGGCTTGGCGGAGGTATAGGAAAGGTAACAGCCGCTTTCGTATATGACTGAAGATGGGATGAAGGAATGTCGAGCTAGGCTTTACCAATGAACGAAGAAATCGTCGCAACTAGTCGCTTCGGCCTTCACCGGTAAGTTCGATCATGACGATACAATCACTACCTGCTCCATAAAAATAGGCTTCAGATTTCTTACATCCTATTTCAATGGCATTGGCTCATGACTTGGTTGTTGTAATGACAGTAGTTAGAAGTACGGGGCCACTGACATTTGAGATGGGCTCACGTGTGCATGGCATGAATCTGAACTGTTTGAATACGTTGATATATTTTTCGCGGAAGGAACTTTGAATGATTAAGTCGACCACTGTCTTGCTCCCCATATGGTAACGCCCGTAGTCTCCTGTTAACCATCCCGTTAACATCCCACTGTTAACTGCTGCTATCTGAAGCGTACGAAAAATACCGCAGTTTCTTTGCCATGCTGACGCAATCATGTACAAGTTCAAGTAATTTTGGTGGACACACATCTGCTCAAGCTGTTGGCCGAGTTCCGTCAGATCACAGAATATATTGTTATGCATGTGCTAGCAAACACATAACAAACCCATAACGCTTCCACACCACGTTAACATAAGTAGTGTAAACGTTTAAATGCGATCATCCCGCCTCAACAATACCGATAAGTCATATAAAACCCTACACCTGATTATTCAAGAGGGTACATATGTGCAAGCGCGTATACCTGCCGACACTTCTCCCTTGATTACAACGCATATATGGCCGACACTTCTTCCTCAATTACAATGCATCTACAGGTTTTATTCTTCGCCAACATAAAAAGAAAATGGGTGGTATATTTTACACAGTCTTCACGTTTTCAACTGGCAGCTTTAAAACAGGAAAACTGAAGATCATAAAACCTTAACGCTACATTGTGGTATATTGGGCCCTTCATCATGCCCTCGCGGCCGTTTCGCTAGCTTTACACATACCAAATTTGGTGTTACGGTACGACAAGGGATGACGACATATATGTCATGACGTGTCATGTCAGAACATGACAACATAGTACGCTCATATCGTGCTCGCGGCCGTTTCGCTAGCTCCACATATACTAAATTTGGTATTACGTGACGTGAGTCGATGACGAAGGCAAACGACACCTCCAAACATTATAATTATGACACGAAAATCATCTACGGCATCATTAACCTCCACCTCTTAACATTGTGCTGATTTTAAAGTGACATATCAACATTTCTCATTCGTGCATCGCATATCATCTATTCCCACTGTACGTGGGATCTGCCAATTTTTTTTAATTATAGCATATAAAATTTTCAGAACTGTCGTTATTGAATAAACACGCCATCGTTTTCATTTTTGAAATGTTTCATACAACTTGCGCAACGAATAGGTTGCGAGCCAATTGGAAGGAAGTCGCAGACTAGCAACAAGCATGGTTAAATAATGAGATGCACAATAAGTCACTGCAGGTCTTATACAAAAAATTATTATTCAAGCTATCCAATTTATTATTTCGAAACTAACTCTTCGTTGTTTGCTTTTGTTTTACACGTTTGTGCTTTCGCGTATTGCTTGAACTGGACTCCGCCGTGGTGGTCTATTGGCTAAGGTACTCGGCTGCTGACCTGCAAGTCGCGGGATCGAATCCCGGCTACGGCGGCTGCATTTTTGGTGCAGGTGAAAATGCTGTAGGCTCACGTACTTAGATTTAGTTGCGCGTGGAAGAACCCCAGGAGGTCGAAATTTCCAGAGCCCTCCAATAAGGCGTCTCTCATATTCATATGGTGGTTTCGGGACGTTTAACCCTACATATCATATCATAATATTGCCAGAACTGGTATAGTGCCTTGCGGTAAATAAGAAGTGACCGAGCATACTGACGCTAGAGTACGCAGCGCTAACTTCCAACTAAGCTTTACACTCAAATCGCATCAAATATGAACACTTGCGCAAGTATACAAAAAACACCCCAACATATCGCCATGACTGCGGAAGGAATATAGGAGGAAAGGAACAGCAGGGAGGCTAACCAGCCTATAGGCAGCCGGTTTGCTACCCTGCGCATGGGAGGGTGATGGGGGAGATGAAAGATAGGGAGGAGAGTGGGAAGATAGATAAACACAGCACATTAGGCAGCACACACGCGCGCGTTCATGAGTGTGGTATGTTCTTCACCGTAATGAGCTATACCAGTTCAACTCGACCAATCTGCATCTCTTGTGTTTCCCGTTTTGCTTTCGCATCAGGGAAACGCCGCCTTCTGGTGGAACCTCAACTCAGACGGAGAGGGGGAGCAGCTGACAAAGCATGGAGGCTGCCCCGTCCTGTACGGTTCAAAATGGAGTAAGTAGCAGCATTTCCTAGTTACAGTGAAGTGTCTGTTGTCTTCTCAATGTCACTTCTGTATTCATCACGCCGACAAACCGGATAATTGATAGGAGCATTGCTGAAGTGTGATGTTTGATGCTTGAAAACCAGTTGGCTCCAAAACAAGACGTCGAACATTTTACAAAACCCGGCAATGCCATCTCTAAGCGCCGTATCGGCAATGGCGTAATGAGATGAAAGGAAGCTGTTTGTTTGATGTTGGCTTTTGCACTGCGCTAACGTAATCTTGGTAATCTGTCCACATCGTAAGTGCATCACAAAAGTGAACGGAAATGACGTAGCATGTCAATAGAGACCACAGTTACACAGGACACAAAAGCAAAACTCTACAACCAGTATTTTATTGATAACAAAATTGTTTCAATGAGCTTTACATTTAATAATATTGTGGTAATTGTTGTGTTCATATCGCGATAGGCTACACCTGTCGTAGTTGTCAAGTTGCGGTGATAAGTGAATGATCGCCACTGCGCATGTGTAACCTGGAGCCACTTGTATATAGGGGCGTGTGCCCTATGTTACGGTGTTCGTTGTGCTGTTGTGAGGCTGCCCTTTGGCATGCCGGAATAAAGGATTCGAAAAGCATGCCCTGGCTCTGAAGTTACAACATGATTGGCGACGAGGATGGGATCCAGACAGCAGGAAAAACAGCAGCTGTTCGGGGTGGTGCCATGCTCGGAAAGCTTCCAGAGTTCGATCCGGACGGTGACAACTGCGATGTTTTCTTCGAGCGATTTGAGTGTTTTGCAGCTGCTAACGACATCGCAGAGGATAAGAAGTTGCAAGTGCTATTGACGTCCATCGGGGAGAAGGCATACGTCACGCTGAGGAGCCTTCTTCTGCCGAAAACGCCTACCCAGGAGACGTATGACGTGGTCATCGCAACGCTGAAAAAGCACTATACCCCAAAGTGCTCCGTGGTTACGGAAAGATACCGTTTTAACCAACGCAATCAAGAACCGCACGAAAGCATCAGCGACTTCATAGTAGGACTCAAGAAACTGGCTGCAACATGTGAGTTCGGCACATTTCTTGAGCAAGCCCTGCGAGATCGTCTCATCGCGGGATTGTGTTCCGACAGCATACGGTGCAGGCTTCTGGCGACACCTGATGCAGAATTAACCTGGGAGCGCACCTGCAGCATTGTAGCAGCCATGGAATCTGCTACTAGAGGCACTCGGGAAATGGTGGCGACCCTCGCAACAGGGACCCCCGTCGACAGCGACGTTCACTGGAACAAGGAAACGGCAGCTGGACAACGGCCAGCACCCGCTGGGGACTACGCACGGAGTTTCATGCCGAAAACCACTCCAGCTGCAGGTACACAAGAGACTAAGGGGTGTCATCGTTGCGGTGGGCGGCACTCTCCTGTAAGTTGTCCGTTCATGAACAGCCGTTGTTTTAAATGTAACAAGAAAGGCCATGTAGCCAAAATGTGTAAAACTAGGGCGCCTATTCATTGCCTGGCTAATGATGCAACGCGTGATGAGTTGTTGACACTGTGTCACACAGACCGTAGGTCGGGCACGCCTGCCATTGTGGTGCCGTTGCTGATAAACGGAAAAAAGATTTCGATGGAGCTAGATACAGGCGCAGCCGTATCGGTAATGTGTGAAACAGAATGTTTAAAACATTTTCCCGATGCAAGTTTCAGGGAAACAGATGTTAGGCTAGTCACCTACAATGGCACGCCTGTCACGGTCAAAGGTATTATGGATGTTGATGTAGAGTACCAGAGCCAACACGTTCGCTTGCCACTAGTGATTGCTAAGGATAGCACAGGGGCTAGAATGCCAACATTATTAGGGCGGGAGTGGCTAACGAAAATAAAACTCGACTGGCTGAATGTGGTACGGGTGCAGAACGTACGGGAAGAAGCACAGATAACTGATAAGTACCGCGAGGTATTTCAACCAGGATACGGGGCCATTAAAGGGTTTCACGCTAGTATTGTGCTTAAGAAAGGCGCTACTCCTGTTTTTTGTAAAGCGAGACCAGTGCCATACGCGTTACGCGAGCAGGTAGAACAAGAGCTGCTTAATATGGAGAAGGCAGGCATTGTGTACCGCGTGAGGCACAGTGCTTGGGCCACCCCACTGGTGGTTGTGCCGAAAAAGAATAATGGCATTCGACTGTGCGGGGATTACCGGGTCACCGTCAATCCTTTCGTGGTAGTTGACCATTACCCTCTACCGCTGCCTGAAGATATATTCACCACGTTGCAAGGTGGAGCTGTGTTTTCAGTTCTCGACCTGAGTAAGGCGTATCTGCAACTGGAATTAGATGAGCACGCTCAGGAACTGCTCACCATTAACACGCATATGGGCCTTTTCCGGTACAGGCGCCTACCCTATGGTGTAGCCTGTGCACCAGCCGCATTTCAGGCGGTAATGGACCAAGTCCTGAGGGGCTTGCAAGGCACGGCTTGCTATCTTGACGATGTCATCATAGCGGGAGTTAGCTACGAGCAGTGTCGTGAAAGAGTGGAACAAGTACTCATGCGCCTAAGCGAATACGGTATCAAGGTCAACGAGGAAAAGTGCAGCTTGTTTAAAAAAAGAGTAACCTACTTGGGGCACGAAGTTGATGGCAATGGGTTGCACCCTACCAGTGACAAAGTAAGGGCGATAAAGAATGCACCCAAGCCAGACAATGTCACGCAACTAAAGGCATTTTTGGGACTGGTAAATTTTTACGCAAAATTTTTACCAAATGTAGCTACAGTCCTGGAGCCTCTTCATGGCTTGCTGCGCAAGGAAACCAAGTGGCACTGGTCCCGACTATGTGACGACGCGTTCAACAAGTGTAAAACGTTGTTGACGGATGAAAGTGTGTTGGAAATATATGATGTGGCAAAAGAAATTCAGCTCACGTGTGACGCTTCAGAGTATGGCCTAGGAGCCGTACTATCGCATGTCGTGAACGGCCAAGAGAAGCCTATCGCTTTCGCCTCAAGATCGCTGTCAGTGTCCGAGCGGAACTACGGACAAATAGAGAAAGAGGCACTGAGCATAGTATTTGGAGTAAGAAAATTCCACAAGTATCTATATGGCAGGGCATTCAACGTTTTAACGGATCACCAACCACTGACGGCTCTTTTCGACCCAAACCGACATTGCGGTGCCGTGGCAATTGCCAGGGTACACAGATGGCTGACATTTCTAGCAGACTATCGGTACAAAATTACGCATAAGCCGGGCTCCGCCATATCGCATGCTGATGCTTTGTCACGGCTACCGTTGTCGGAGGGGGGGCATGACGAGGACACAATTTGCTACTTTTCCACGTTGTCAGATTTGCCGCTGACCGCGAAAGACATTGAGCGTGCAACAGGGTGTGACAGTTTGCTGCGAGTTGTGCGAAATAGGATATGGCAAGGTTGGCCAAAGACTGTCAGTGCGGAACTGCAACCGTTTTGGGTTCGCCGATTTGAGCTCACGGTGGACGAGGGCTGTATTGTTTGGAATAACAGGGTTGTTGTTCCTGAAAGCTTGAAGACTGTAGTACTAGCACTCTTGCACGAACAGCATCTCGGGATCTCAAAAATGAAGGCTGTTGCACGGTCAATGGTCTGGTGGCCGGGTATCGACGATGCCCTTGAACAGGCGGTGCGCAAATGTAGTATCTGTCAGGCAGTACTTCCTGCAGCGCAGCCAGTTCCTTTGTTTCCATGGAAAGTTTGTGAACACCCGTGGCAACGAGTCCACTTGGATTTTGCGGAAAAAGAATCGCAAATCTTTCTTATTGCAGTAGATGCTTTTTCCAAATGGATAGAGGTTAAGTGTATGCAGTCGACCACGGCTGCGAAAACAGTCGAGGCTGTGCGTTCCTGGTTTGCGTCTCACGGGTTACCTGTGGAAGTGGTTACTGATAACGGGCCTCAGTTCCGCGCAGCGGAATTTCTAACTTTCCTGAAAGCGAATGGCGTGAAACATACGCTCACCCCACCGTATCATCCGCAATCTAATGGAGCGGCCGAGCGAGCGGTGCAAACAACTAAGAAGGCTCTCCTGAAGCAGTTAATGGATGACGAAAGGACAGGTACAAACAGGTCACTACAACATCGCCTAGATAATTTCTTGTTCTCGTACCGCGCAACCCCGCACACTTTCACTGGGAAATCACCAGCAGAATTGTTTCTGCGACGGAAACTGAGGACCCGCTTATCATTGCTACGACCAGATGTGAACGGTGTGTTGACTGACCAAGCAGAGGAAGTGAAAACATCCGCTGACAAGCGGCGCGCAGTGTTTCGTTCTTTTGCGATGAATGAGTGCGTACTGGTACGATCAGTGCGTGGAGAGACTGTGAAGTGGTTACCGGGTAGAGTGTTGCAGGTAAAATCAATATGCACATACTTAGTGTTGGTGGGAAATCGTGTGCGATATGTGCATGCCGATCATTTGCGCCACTCCTGTCTGGAACGGGAGAAAGAGCCAGCTGTGGACGACGAGTTCGAGCTGCCGCATGTGCCCGAAGAACGGGACCCTACTACTTCGACGACGACGCTACCACCGATTACCCAACACCAGTCGAGCACGGAGCGTATGCCGCAGCCGGACATGACTACGCTCCGGAGAAGCACCCGACAACGCCGGGCGCCTGATCGCTGGGGCTATAGTAGCCGTACTTAAAGTTGTCAGAAAGGGAGTGTTGTGTTCATATCGCGATAGGCTACACCTGTCGTAGTTGTCAAGTTGCGGTGATAAGTGAATGATCGCCACTGCGCATGTGTAACCTGGAGCCACTTGTATATAGGGGCGTGTGCCCTATGTTACGGTGTTCGTTGTGCTGTTGTGAGGCTGCCCTTTGGCATGCCGGAATAAAGGATTCGAAAAGCATGCCCTGGCTCTGAAGTTACAACAGTAATGCAGCAGAAATTCGAGCAAACTTGATCGCAATCAGGGCTCATCTGAAACAGTCCTGATCCGAATGACGCGCTGCTACACGGTAAT